GCCATCCTGCGGCTCTCTGTACCTTTGTACCGCCTGAAAAAAAGAAAACAATAAAAAGAAAAACAACAAGAGCGTCAGAGCGCTACAACAAGATTACCTCCATCCGCCCCCAGGGGAAGGGCTACTAGGTGGAGTGAAGACTTTATCTATTAAACATAGTCTACCTAGATCATTTATCCCCGTATCTAAGTGGAATTAACATTTAGAAACATACAACATGAGATGTAGTACGTCGAGCGAAATAATCTAAATAAGGAAACCCTCATGTATATACCATATGTCTCAAATTGTAGATGCCTGAATATTAATACCAATCTAGAGATAAACAATCTAAATAAAATCAATAATTAAAAATCCATAATACGAGACGTAGTACGTCGAGCGAAATAACCCAAATAAGGAAACCCTCATGTATATACCATATGTCTCAAATTGTGAATCGCTAATCATTAACCTCAATCTAAGAAATAAAGAAAACAGTAAAGAAATATAAATACATTAATACATCATATTTATAATATATTCTACTATAACTAGGGAGATAGAATAAATACTAACATATAATCCCGTATACTTTCAAGAGCAAAGTATCTCGGTATTATATCTCAGCGATGAGTCTTATGCATAACTAGCATCTGCCATGGACATAGGCTATCAAGAAATCGTCACTATACAAATCCATGCAAGTTATGATTCATCGCAGTATCATGTGGGACGGACTACCAAGTCGGCATCCTAACTGTGTACTCGGCTCATTAGTCTCATCACAACTCAGTGCTAACATGAGTACGGGACGGACTACCAAATAAACATCCTAGAAATATGGCTCACCAGCCTCACCGCACCCTGGTGCGGGACGGACTGCTAGGTCAAGCATCCTCTAACCCGACTCAATGGCCTGTACTATTGGAATATCAATGCACAACCCATATATATGTATAAATTGTGTAATCAATTTCTGTACGAATGGTATATCGATGCATTATCTTAAATAGTACTGAGCGGTGCTCATCAACGATATCCATATGTATGTAAACTATGTAAACCACCTCTAACTCAAGTGTAATCGAATCAATACTTGTCAAAATCCCCATCGGGATATTCATGTGTATACAACAACACTATACTTGTGTATTCGTGAATAAATGTGTATAAAAGTACGGCTTGAATCCCTCGAACGCGTCTCAAAATAGTGCAAAAACAAACTAGAAACAATCTGGAAATCTGCCTATAAGTCGACTTATGCTTAACATAAGTCGACTTATGGCAAGTCGACTTATAAGTCGACTTAGTCGACTTCCAGATTTCTGTTTCGATGTTTTCTGCGGTGTTTCTCAAACAAAACTCATTCTAATCAACATGGATCATAGAAAACAGGTTATAAACATCCAAAACTAATTAACAGAGGTCATATCACATGGTTTAACACTTGCATTAAAAAGAATTAGGGTCAACTACATGATTATTCAAGATTTTTAATATTGATATGAAATATTACATAACTATCATAACATGATTAATTTTTTTTTGACAAAGGCAGAAGCATAAAAATTCGTTTAAACATGGTTAGACTAATTAGGAAACACTGGCCTAAGGTTTAAGCAAGATTAATTAACATAAAAAGATAATTAAATATCAAACTAGGGTTAACACATGAGTTATGCATGCTTAAAAGATAAAAAACGAAGTTAAATGAATACCTAATGATCATGATCATGATTCTATCATAAACAGTAAGAAAATGTTACTAATCTAGCATTGACTTAAGATTTAAAATAAAAATCTGACCTTTAATACCTCAGGTTAAGATTAAAGCATGAAAACACATATTCAACATCATATTAATCATCTAAACTAGTTATTTAACTATGAGGATGGGTTTGGACGAAGATAATGTTGCCTCAAGTAGCTGTTGACTCTCCCAACACGCGTGTAAGATCTCTTCCTTTGCTAAAAACACAGATCTCGCCTTCCTCTTAGCGAATCCTTCTTCAAACTCTTTCAAAAACTCAAAAACTTGAAGTAGGGTTTTAGAGAAGGGGTGACTGCTATATTCTCACGAAAAATGCAGCAAAATAGGGTTTAAAAGAGTATATATAAGTCTGGGATTGAAACAAAACAGATATAACCCGAAACCCAAAAGGAAACTGGAAATCAGCCTATAAGTCGACTTACAGATCTGACAAGTCGACTTAGCAGAGATTTTATAGTTTTTCTTCTGTTTTTCGTACATATTTCGTGCATGTTTTTCTCTTCCACTCCCATATAAACATGGAATTGATCTCAACTCAATTCCTAGCATACTCAAACATCAAAATATGTTATTTATCACCATATAACATATTTATTATTATTTATCTCATAATATTCAAATTCACGGGGTTTTACAAAAGTATTGTTGTTGCTGCTGCTATTCTAGAAGCAAGAAAAAAGAAGTCTACAAAGAATAAACAGGGAAAGAAAAAAGAAGTTCTTTAGTAAGAGAGGAGATGACACACCACCTGTTTTTGCTTTGGAGGGCAATGAAGAGGGCTTTGAAGGTATGCCTACTTTCAATTGTTAAGTAATTAACGCATGGTCCATTTCATGGTCACAATTCACTTAATTTTAAAACTTTATCTTAGAGACCTATTGGTATTGCTACTTCTCCTAGTCTAGTTGTGAATGTATTTCTGCCGGACATAACTGAATCAGATTAAACTTATTATTGCTCCAGGACTACGGGTGTCTTTTCCTTTTCTTTTTCTTTCTTTTTTGGTATCTGTCACTGTGGATGAACCTCTTACCTCCTCAAGTGGATGAAGTGCTCAATGTTTTTTAGCCTACAGAAATTTATGAGTATTTATTTGAACTCTTTTATCATATAATTTATAAAAAAAGTCTTGTTTGTGTTTGTATGTTACTAACTGTGTATATTGGCAATTACAATGCATGGTGTAAAGTATGTTCATCTATCTTGCAATACAAATCTTTGAAAGTCTTTGATTTGGTCGAATTTGTATCACCCTTCATATATCTTTATTCATCTATATAGGTATGGTGAATCTCCTTTCGAATATGGACGCGATGAATCAGGAGGAAGCATGCAGTTGATAGTCATGATGCACAGATAAAATTATCCCAGGGACTTTAATTTATGGGACGATCAGCTCAGGGGTATCAGAGCACACCAAAGTATCTTAGTTTTTAGGAGTATTAGCGGAGACCTCAGGCATGAATTTTTTTTATCTTATGATTAATTTATTCCAAACACTATCATTATTTGGTTAAATAATGTTTTACGTACATGTGGCTTTTGTTCTCAGCCAGTTTTTTGTGCATATAAACAAAGTGTTGTGAGCCTAGTTGTGTTTATTTTGTGACCAATTCTATTTCGTGGAGCTTGGTTGTGTTCAGGTTTGTTCTTTGCCAGTTTTTGTGCATATGTGAGGTGTTTTGTGAGCCTGGTTGTGTTCTATTTGTGACAGCTTGGTTTTGTGTAGCTTCGTTGTGTTCCTGATGCTTCTCGGACATTTTTTGTGCATATGGAGATCTGTTGTGAGCTTGGTTGTGTTCAGTTTGTGACCAGCTCGGTTTTGTGTAGCTTGGTTGTGTTCAGGTTTGTTCTCAGCTTGTTTTTGTGCATATGTGAGAATTTTTGTCAGCCTGGTTGTGTTCAGTTTGTTACCAGCTCAGTTTTTGTACATTCCAACTTTTATATGATTAAGATTACCTCATATAACGAGATTAAAAATTTGTATATATTGGGGGTAATCTTACCATGGTGACCTTAAATATTTTTCCTACAAACTTCAAAACCAATCAAACACAAAAAAAGTGAGAAATGTCAAATCAACAAAAGTTTTTCATTTTTTTCATGCGAACCAAACACAAGAAAAGTAAATATATTGGTTTTCTATTATTTTTTATGTACGGATCAACGTAAAATAATCTATTTCTTAAAAAAATTTGAAAAACTCAAAACATATGATTCTTTACGTGGAATTGCAATTTCCTATATCTAGGAAACAAACCAAACAGCCACTTATATATAAATCCGGGGGTTTATCCTGACTCCCAGTAGTCATACCCCTAAAGCAACAAAGAACCAAAGCCCCCAAAATCCTCTCCCGAAATCCCCCAGACTCCCCCAAATGCCCG